TCGTCCTCTCAATTTCGTAAACAACAGTAATACCACAAGAAGGCAATTAGTAGGGCTTCCCTGTCAGTGGTTATATTCACGTGGCCACTTGAGAACATTTGGAGAGGGAAAATTGACTCTTCCCACCGTCGGCCGTATCAGGGCATGTGGGGGGCAGAATAGTAATAAAATAAATTATAGCTACTATTTATTATTATTAGTGTAGAGAGTAATTCCCTTCAGATGCAATTGTAGACTTCTCCCCTAAACTGTCAAACACAGAGTCTTAGCTTAGCCAAAGTTAGAACAAGTAAGCTATTTGGCTCCATAAACTATATCTATTTTTCTAAAATGTTAATTAACATTGTTAACATACGAAATATACAATTATTAATAGTCTATTAAACGGAAAAAAGAAAGACAAATAACATAACGAATATTAACTGGAGGATAGGAAAAATAAATCAATGAAATGGTGATAAGAGCAAAAATTGATCATAAGATGGTGGTTGTAAGTAGTCAACAGCAAGTCACGGACCTGGGTTTCGTGACACTCGGCACTCGTCAGCAACATTTACCTGTAATCTTGAGGGAACTGGTGCCCCTTGACGGATTCGATCCCGTGTCATTCAGCTTTACAATCAAAGACGCTACCACTAAGCTATCCGGGTCGCGACTAATATCCTGTAGGAATGAGATGTATTTACAATAGATTGGTCACTGGGTGGTGATCAGTATCAGGTCCTTCTTAGTGCAGATCGAATCTTGTCAAACTAGGTCAAAGAGAGTTATTGTAATGTTAGACATCTCGTGTTGTCAATGGCAGGTTCGTTTATCGATCACACCTTACAACTAGTAATGGTAATATTAGTGGTAAACACTTTATTATAACAGTAAACAATTGACTGCAATGACAATTCCCGTTTTCAGAGTCTTTTAATTTGTGAAATATATATATACATACTGTGAAACAGAACCGTCAAAACTGAGTTTGGAAAATTTAGAAAGGCTTTAAATGGAGTTGACTTTATTAGTTTCTAGAGAAAATTTTGATGCTTTCCTTGGAGATTTGATAGCTGCATGTGCTACGTGTAGTGGGGGTATGAAAATTCATTCAGTAAAGCTTCAAGTGTAGTGTGATTCAGCCTTTCTAAGAGACAAATAATTACTTATGGTCTTCGAGGAGCAGTACGTAAGACACTGGACGATTCGTGTGCGAAACGTACAATTGAACCGATTCATTCATCAGCATGTGGTGCTCCTATTGTTACGCCACTGACGTCGGACGGCAAAACCCTAGAATATGAAGTGACTATATATTAACACTGAAAGCCCGTTTGTTGAAGTAAACACGAATGAGAGTGATTTTTCACAACGTCGCCAAATTCTGACTTCACAATTTAAGTATTAGGAAATGTTTATAGTCGGGAGGGGTCCCTAAGGTATTAGTGACACATAATGGCTCTCATTTTGCGGCAGACATATTCATTACTATCTAACTGAATTTCATAGAGTTCAAACATCTGTTACCTACTCCCAGACACACCTGTTCTAGTATTCACGCAGAAAATTGTGTCAAGACATTCAAAAACGCTATTATTTCCGCTGCTGCCTTAACATTTTGTGAACTGGGGAGGAGATTAGACAGATTTCTACTACAATATGGAAATGCTAAACATTCTGGAGCGAAAGGGACTCCATCAAAGTTATTAGGAGAAATGATTCTTCATCCAAATATGAGTTACTTCGAGTCTGCAGAAGTTAAATATTATCATGGAAATGATATTCGGCCAACCACGAGGATAGCTGCAGTGAACTTCGGAAAATCTATGATTCGAATCCTAGATTTCACTGATTTAAGTACATATAATCGACATGTTGATAAATTGCAATTCCAGGAACCATATGAGTGTGCTCTAATTTCGGCAGTCGATCCTAATATTAATGAGAATATTCTAGGTTACGTATAATCCGCAACCGGACAGATACGTGGTGAAACTAAGGAAAAGGCATACAATGCACCACAGAAATTCGGATTGCTATTTAAGCTGTGACGGTCGTGGTATTTTCATTTAATGGTGATTCGTTTGTGCTTGATTGCTCACTGATTACGAATACCAAATGTGATACGTTCATTTGTGTTAATGTAGTATTACCTACCTAAAACTTCACTATTTATGGAATCATTAGTTATTACATTATCACAACCTGTTCAGATTTGTAAGTGATCTGTAGCGGTATTAGTACCTTAACATACGATCTTTGAAGCCAGGCGGATGATGACAGAAGATTTACATCTAACATTTAACACTTAGAGAAAGTGAAATGGTGAATGTTGGAAAACTCAACCGGTATGACATGACTCGGCCATGCAAGTGTGAATACTCAATGCAACCTCTTGCTTGTCATATTATATGTCATTCTTTTTCCTGTTCATATATATTCTTCGAGAATACTTAGCGCAAACTAATGACTGTCAAGATTGTACGAATCATCATATATAGGGGTGTGATGTTCATGTAAGTCTGATAGACCAAATATTCATATCATGAGAAATCCACAACTGTGGGATAGGTCTATTCCATTCTGGTAGCATAGACAAATGTACTAATATATATTCATGTACCATAAATCAACAGATGTTTTCCAATCATTCTTTTGTACTAATGGACCGAGTGCAAATGTATAATGAGCAAATTTGTCAAAGTTCTCGGAGGTAGGTAGGACAAACATTCAAGAAATCACCAAACTGCATCATGAGGCATGCACCAACTTGAAATCCTGAAGAAAAACGGAAAAGCGAAAGATTAAAGAACACACTAAGTCGAGAATTGGAAGCAGATATGAAAAAGACAAATAATAGATAAAATACAACTGGAAAGGATTGCCCTAGATAGAGTTCGATAGAGAGTGCTGACGAGTAGCCTGTGCACCTTTACGAAGAGTAACAGATTTAAAGAATAAGAAAGATAATATCAGTGACATCAAACACCCCATGAGCATATATTCGACCCCTTGTATGGCTACAAGGTAAATAAAGTCCTTATGACACTATTTTAACGAAATCTGCTTAACAACACGCAAAACATTCTCTGTACACCAATACTTGACCAATTCAGAAATCAGGAGGCTCACAAAGGTATGAAAACAGGCCGTTTTCCCTCCATCTTTTTAAAGAGACAGTAAACCTCTAACTTTTAAAAGACTGGTAGTGATCTCACCTCACAAAGTTTTAGATGCTAGTGATTATTGTATTAGAAACATAAAAGCGGTCGATTCGACCCTTCACTAAGTTCTCCCACTTTGTGATCATGTACAATCTTTTTTAAAATCATGTACACATCCTAACGCAAGAAACCACAATATTGCTGAAACTTCTTTTGTAGAAGGAGTATGGTCGAAGTAACTGGATTCACGTTCAAGTTCAGGTATAAAATACAGTTCTAATAATTCCCACCGATTGTCAAAATTGCAATGGACGGTGAACAAAATACAATGAGTGCTTTATTTTAACAATCCCCAAGTAAAAATCACTTATCGACAATAGTGGTTATTCTGCAGCGATTCACTGAACCTTCCTAAAAGTCTTTCACCTCTTTTCTCTTTTTTTTTACTCATGATCTGCCATCTTCCACAGAGAACACTTTTGTGAAATATGCGGATGATCTCAGTATATGTGTGTCTATCTCTTCCTCTTTACATCCCATAGAAATGAATGAGTTTTTGTCTCGTATTAATTGTTGGCCTGTTGGTAATGGTCTCATACTTCATCCATCTAAATGTCAAGCTGTTAACTTTAGCATGAGACATGAAGACATCTAAACACCATTTTGAGACCCCATAATGTTTGTGCCATTGGAGACTCTTTGATAAACACAGTGCCGAAGGTCAATTATCTTGGTGTCACCTTTTCCTCTGATCTCTAATGGTCTTCTCACGTTTCATTGTTATCAAAGGTTTTCTGTCTGACTTACTACATAAAGAGATTGCATGCTCTTGGGATTACTTGTCATTTACTCTTACAATTTTTCAATTCTCGCATATTACCTATTATTCTTTACTGTTCTTTATTACTCTTTCCCAGACTTTTGAGAAAAGACTTTGCTGTATTGCGGAGAGTGCTGAAGGCAGTTAGCAAGGTGTGTGGTGAATCTTTCGAGGTCATAACTAATAAAGTTGCGGATAGACATTTAAAGTCATGCAGACTCCTGGCAGGTGTTATTTTATCAGATACTAACCATCCCCTTCACTCTTATCTTTCCCCTTGTACATCTTCTGGTAGAACGAGACGTAATTACAGACTTTTTAAAAACTTTTTTTCCTTTTTTGTCTTTGTTTCTGTTTCTTTTGTTGTGTAAGAAACTTGTTGAAATACCCTGTGCTGAGAATTTTTATATTGTGCCAAAATATAATATTGAATAAAGCCACTGATAATAATATTATTACTTATGCTGACTTTGCTCACTAGCACTGAGTTCCAGCCACAACTTGTGAAATCCCCAGAGCCAAAGCTAACCCTGACCAGAGGACGGAAAGCAAATGTGTTGGTCTCAAAGAAAAAACGTTTTCACAATTAAGCATGGACAATCGTATCAACAATCCAGTTTTTTTACAGATGCACTTATCATGAAACGAAAGTGTACAACAAAGTGGTTTACAGTATTAGAGGGAAAACTTACTCGGATAGACATGAACACATGGGTTAAATATCAGTGTTATAGCGTAAAATGTCATGAAAAGCTTACGAGTGAGCTTACAATTTTCCATAAAATTCGCCATTGCTATCCATGAGTAGCTGTAGGAGAACTGAATAATAAGTGACAGATACCTAGGCGAGTGTCGCTTACTCACTGTTGGACCATCCCATAAGTAGTGCTTTCCCTTGCACACTTTAGAACTTACCATGTTTTGAGCAGCTAGTTGAATGCCTTGTAGATCGGAAGCCACTTATTTAAGTAGTCACAGTTTCTAAATGCAAATACATTCATTCATACTGAAGACATACCAACCATCAAATGACTTTCGAATCCACTTGAACTAGTGTAGTCATGTAGCTGGACTTCTAAAATTGATCGACAACAGATACCACTTAACGTGCATTATTGGTCAGGAATGGATTCATGAATATCTTTTAATCGATTATTGATCTTCTGGAAGGACAATTCTTATATATTTCAGAGATTAAGTCCAAGCATTTTACATCGAAATGCCCATTTCCCATAATACCGTAAATGGGTGGAATAATTTACCACATCTTGTTGTGTCAAGGCTTTCTGTTAACGCTTTAAAAGATATTGGAACTAAATTGTACTGTCAATCCCGTATCATTTGACCTTCTATCCAAACCGTCGAAGACTAGGGATATTGGACTTTGGGTATGCGCGCGCTTACCGAATACTTTGGTATTTCTTCAAGACTGATGCAATGTGGAAATGAATTAAACATTCTTTTAACACATGTTACTTAGATGATGAGCTGCTTCCCGTACGGCCATAGAGGCAATGCCTCTTCTCAGTTCGAGAGGTCCGAAGTAACACAGGTATGTTTTTCTTTTATAGGGTACAATCGACCATATGAGTATATCTCAACATGTGTTGAGATGTCCTCACAATGTTTACTGAGTAATTTTTCTGCTTTCCTTCACTCTAAGTGTTTTTTTGATAACAGTTGAAGTAGTGCATTATGTAGATTAGCTTTATACTGCGGAAATAAGGGAATCTAACCCAGTCGTTCTTACATATCATTTTTCCCCAAATGAAGTACTTTTCTCAGATTTTTCTTCAGGATTTATTCTGCTTGGAGTTACGTTTAGGTTTATTAAAGGAATAAATGCCTCACATCATACATGTCTTGGGTGGCCAGTACCAACCGTTGTATAATTTTCCCCAAGAACTCATTTTTCTCTTAAAATGTCGACAATATCCATTGTTTTTCATCTAGAACTTTTTGTCCGGTGTTTTCATTGGTTTAGAAGCTATGGACGCATACTTTTTGTTATTCTCTAGAGTTTCAAGCTAGTATTTGTTCACCCGCTTCTTCGCTCACTCGTGTAATCAGCAGAGTCCCATCTATTAGGATGGAATCGGGTAATTTCCCACAGCCTAATCACTCACAGTTAGATCCATCAAAACAAATGTTCCTCTTACCCGTAACTTATTGTATCGTCAGGTAACAACTAGGTCATGGATTCGTTTTTCAAGATTTTCTCTGGCGAGACTAATTTACGGACAAATCAATCAAGTATAAGACAACAGGTCTTAAATTTTGGTTCCAAATTCACTCGTTCGTTTGGCAAAATATCTTTTTGGCAATAAAGCCGATGTCAGTTTGTGATGAAAACCCAAAATTTAATCCCTAACCTTGACCATCAAATGTAAATCATAATTCTTATTCCTCACACTGGTTTATAATGATCATTTAGTCTTAGTTGTTAGGTAGACACTCTCAATGTCACTCCAGCGTCGCTCCAAGGTCGTCCATAAATTATAGTCTCACCCATTTTCTATTGGGCCAGTCGTGTGGCATCATTAACATTTATAATGTAGCTTGGAGTCGGTTAGACGAGCATGCACTTGACAATTGCACTACACTGTTATTTTAACCTATGTTGAGATGGTCAACAAAGATTTCCCAATTAATGTGTATATGGTCACGTTACCGCTTATCAGCTTGTAACATCAACCTGAAACCTTTTTAAGGATTGGCTACATGTAATGACAAATTTACCTGATCATGTAGCTATAAAACATCTATGAGTACATATATAGTATTTATAATTACTAAATTTTGATATTCATTCCTGGCAAAGTTGGTAGCTAAAATCGGTCAGATTTGACTATATTGGTGACTATTTGGTGTACTGGTTTTTCCCCTTATATTTCAGAACCAATGTCCTGCACTGAAGTTTGATTAAAAATCTACTTAGTTAACTGAGCTGTATTTCTGATTGCACCCATTAACATTAAAGCTGACATGTTTGTCTGTTGGTTGCTAATTGTTTTGTTATCTCCATTTAGTATAGTTCACTGGTAGATTTATGTTTCCGTAGTCTCCTCAAATGTTCACAGTATTCTACCATGAATGTGTGCTAGTGCTAATGATTGAAGTATAGCAGTTTTCGAGATTACTCTCATTAATTGATGAATCAATCATGCGTAGTTCCTGTTGTATTGTTTGTTTACATTATCAAGTAATAGTTTGAATCAAACCAGTCTTGTGAAATAGTGATAGTCTATTTTAACAGTGTCTTAATTTATTTCTATCTTATTTAAAGGTGGATGATATAAGTAGTTATAGTTACAAGTCCAATTAACGTGGGGTCTAAATCTTGTGTATTTATGTGTACATAAATCCATTGTATTCCTCGTTGTCGTTATCATCGGGGTAATTTACCCTATCACGTTATGTGTATTGACAATTGTTCATGCGTTTATCTATTTTAAGGTTAAGGGCGGCCTGAGCAAGAATTAGTAACAGTACATCTAATTGTCAACTCTTGGTCTAAGCTACATTGACGTGTAAGTTTCTTAGTCAAGATCCATGAGACATGTATTTATTAGTTGTGGATTAAGTAATATTTTTCTACAGTTAGGTGACCATGTACTCTAATCTTTGATGGAACCAGTGACACTTCTCAACTGTTTAAGCTGAAGTTCCAAGCTACAACGTAACAGATAGAATTAGAATTGTTTTGCTTTGAACTGCTGACTATGTACTGTTTCAAAATGAATCACAATGGTACAGGTATTATCATTCCTTATCTTCCTCTAAACCTTAAGGAATGTATTATCTCATGCCTTTTGTTTCTTTTTGGCTGTTTTGACTCATTTTGCCGCCTCAGTATCATTCCTACTATTATTATTAACCAATTCGTCTATTAACTTATTAGTTTGAGGTATAATATGTTTGATTTACACGTTTCTGTTAGGTTGTCAGTTTTATCCTTAGTCGGAGTCATAAAAATGTTCTTACATATGCAAGATTGAACGTGTTTTGTACTCATGTATTAGTGAAATTATGACTGTCAGCCCAACGCTCACATCAAATTAATTGATTTCCTTAATGAGCGTCTATCACGTGTCTATTTGGTCAGTTCATTCGAGTACACAGTAATGTAAAATTTAATTAATCATACAGAGATGACCCACTAAAAGTAGTATAAATAAACGGGAGGAGGGAAACTAGACAATTGTTTAAAACTACTATTTGAAGAGCTTTCTCGAAAGACACACATGATCATATCTTCTCAGTTTCTCCCTTGGAAGTCTTGTTGTCTGCCTTAAAGTTATGGGAGTTTTTCTTGCAAAAGTAAATATCTGTCGATATATTCGGTTTTCTATATATAAATTCAGGGGAACCGTTACTTATTGTATGTTGTTCCTCTGTTGTATAGACTAACTTATTATTATTATTATTATTATTATTAGCTTTATTCAATATTATAATTTTGGTACAATATAGAATTCTCAGCGCAAAGTATTTCAACAAGTTTCCGTTTCTTTCTTCTTGGTCGGTCCTGGCGATAAATATTGAGGAATCGCCAGTTAGATGTTAGCACTTCAGTGAATGAACAACTGAATAATGTACATTCTTTTCGTTGTACATTGCCAGCAACCATATTGTCTCTTATTGAGTTTTCTGTAACTTTGACAACGAAAGGTTGTACACTTTTCAGAAACGCAGCAGAATAGGTTATGCGATTAATAAACATAATGATATATTAAAACAAACAATAATAGATAACTTGTTGAAATATCTAGATGGCAGGAACAGGTAGCCCAGATGCTCAAGCAGGCCGCCCTTCTCCTACATTATTTCGGGACTAGTTTAAGGACGTCATCTGACTACGTTCTGTTATCAAGGTTACCACTAAATTCTCGATTACAGAAAAGTGAATATCTGGATATCACTTAGAACAAAAAATTAACAATAAAACACTTTTTTTCTTGATTGTTGTTATCGCTTTATTTGTGTTCTTTTCTCATGTTTTTCAGAATTGGGTGACTAATCCTACACATGGTACTGATACTACAGGTGGCAGAACACCTGCACCACCCTTAAGGACAACAAGCGCACCTCTTGGAAGGTAATTATAAACATTAAGTGTATTCTTGTATCGTCCCTTCTATTTCCAGTTCCATTGAAAATATATCCTTTAAACCGAATAAACCATTACCACTTACACCAGTGGAAGAAGAAAAACGTGACAAAAAGAAATACAAAAGTAATTATTTGATTGATTTTCTTAAAATATCCTAATCGTTCTTAACTAAAGGTAGTGCCAGTAAACTTGGAAAATTCAAACCATCTATTATGCTAAATATATCAGCACCAGTCAATGTTATGCATAAAGTACACATTACAATAGATCCAGTTACTGGTGAATTTGAGGTATGTGTCTTGAATGCTTTTAGTATTGTTTTTTCCAGTGTTAATATAAAAGATAAAAATTATAATTAAAGTTCAATCACAAATAGTCTTATGGTGGCGTTTACTTCGTCCCATTCTATTCATAATATAGAACTTTTCCAGAACAGTTATTGTTTAACGAAACCTTATGTATATATGATTCCAAGGAAGTTTAGTTTGTTTTTGAATAATCAAATTGTACATTCATGAAATAATTGGCTAGGTGTCTAGGTGTGTCAAATCCTCCGGTCTTACTATATGTTGCTAATATCCAAAAAATATCACGTGTCCAATTGTGAAAACTTCCGTTTCTTAAAAACTTGGAAATCTAATCATATCTCTGCTAATGTTAAATTTATGTGATATGATACCCAAAAATCAGGCCTAAAAACCAGATCTTGATTGATTGAAGAGTGAATGGCTTACAAACTAGTTTTCTTCCATCATCTATGATATCTCATCGTGTTTACTTCGTGGTAATACTTTGTGTATAAGCATGTCACTTTATTATATAAAAAATTAATTAGTTTAATGATTGCCAATCCACCTTACCCATGTGACTTCACCCTATTTCATCGCGCGTTGGATTACCATTTTTTTGTACGTCACGTCCGCGAGACGATAGCAACCGGTGGTTAGAGACCTTGAATGACACGACTCAAAATCGTTTGCAATGGCACAGGTGCATCCACTCTTTGTGTTCTCCCAAATTCTAATCTTCTGAATTCTTCTTGTCCTTTTCTTTTTTCTCTTTCCAAATTTATTTCACTGGATTATACTCCTTAAATCACATCTTCAAACCCGAATGTTTCCAATTACTGCTTATACTCTTACTACCTCTATCACTACGGGATTTGAATCGATAATTTTATCCTTGTGCTAATGTGGTATGACAACTCGAATTGATGTACGTACGTACGAAGTTCTACGTTGTTACTGACTGTGTGACTGTTTGTGTGTCAGTGTTCTAGTCTACCTAATTCTCACAATTCCCGCTCCATAGTAAAAGAATTTCTTAATCGCCTCAATCCGGAAGTTCCGAACCTTAATTCAGTTCACAAAAATACACCAAAAATGAAAATAGAATTACTGCTTAACGACATCAAATAATTTTGACTTATAACTTCTTTTTCGACTCGGTAGTAGATTCACTTTAATTATCTCAATTACTGATTTCCAGATAATTAATAGGTACTCTTCATTACGTCATTTCAAAATAATTATCAAACTGAGCTTATTAGATTAAACATAAATCTTCAAGAGATCAATCTTCGGACCTTAACTTTGTATATTAGTTGGTTAAATTATCATTGTTAATACGTTGGAACAATATCTATCATTCGACAAACACCCAGTATAATTAAATTATTGTCATATATAACAGGTGCCCCCAAATGCCCTGGTACGGCCGAGAGTGAGGAGAGTCCGCTCTCCATCTCGAAATGCTCCCACACGGTCACGCGTATATAGCCTCTGTCAGGGAAGTCCTACTCACTGCCTTCTCGTGGCGGGGGTGTTGTTTACGAAAATAAGAGGATGAAAAGCGAATGTCCGACGCTTTAACCGGATCCCAAACCAAACCAATGATGCACATGGGCTCCAGTATCCCGAGGGAACAAATGGTGTATGAACCAATTGTTGGTCACCGGCTTCCATGGGACTGCATCTCCTTACGATGCTCTACTGCCTTGTGGATCAGACCTTCAGGTCGAAGGCTCGGGGTGTGGCCCCCTAAAAAAACCACCTGTTTCGGTCTGGGCACCCGGGCAGTAGCTCAGCCCTCACACAAATCAAATGAGATTTGTGTGGCGCATATGTATTTGGTGCCTCCTTGTACCAATATGTATGTGTTAAAATAAATAATAAATAAATAAAATATATAACAGGTATTCAAATCAGATAGTGATAGTCAGTACGTTTTGTAGCTTTTTTTATCATGGCGTTTAGAAGTTCCTGTTTGGGAAGGGGGTATACTACTATTATTACTACTACTATCACCACCACTAGTGACTGCTTGACGGTTGTCTAGTTACTATTTACTTAATGATTGACTTGGAGGTTGTCTTTCTCAATATATACATGTATATGATTATGCTTGCTTACTTGTTGATTTCCTTATAAAAATATAGGGTATGCCTCCAGAATGGTCTCACATGTTAACGGTGGCAGGCATCACAAAATGGGAACAACAACAAAATCCAACTGTTGTACTAAATGTGTTAAATTTATTGAGTAGAAAAGATGATACTCCTCAAAAATATATGACAAGTATTATAGGACCACCAAGTGGTAAGTTGCATTGATGATAGATTGTTTTATTGTTTATGATTATTTGAAGTGTTTTATATAGTTTTAAAATAGTTTTCATTCATAATTAACACGTTAATAAGACGTTAAAGATAGATGGACTTTGGAACTTGTCCCATATCTCATTTAAGACTTCTCATCACTCCGTATTCTAGACATTTTCTGGAATAAAATTTTGTATGTTCAGGTAAATTAGTGAAAATTCCGCCTTAATGTTACTAGGTCGGTGTTTCAAAACTTTACTTATTATGATTATGAAACATATTATCTTCAGAGTTAATTGTTCCAATAGATCGACTCTTTGAATAATCTCGTTTTCGGAATTATTTCCTCTTGAAAATTGGTCTGTCATAGTTTCGGTATAATTTTTTGGAGCAAACCTTATGGATCGATTCCATTATTAGACGATATATGAGACTGGACAGTTAATTCATCAGTTCTTAAAAGTTCTTTCCAGTAAATATGTATTACTTTACCAAAATCAATTATATTATAGGACTTATTAGGTATTGTTTACGAAATTGGGAGGACGAAAACCGAATGTCCGGCGCTTTAACCGGATTGGTGGATACGGAGGATTCGCCTAGAGAAGTTGAAAAACCCTGATTCCAAACCAATGGTGCACATGGGCTGGCTTCAGTATCCTGAAGGAAAAAATGGCGTATGAACCTATTATTGATCACCGGCTACCATGAGACTGCATCTCCTCACATTGCTCGATGGTCGGGGTGTGGTCCCCTAAGAAAACCACCTCCTTCGGTTTGGGCACCCTGGCAGTATCACAACCCTCACACAAGTCGAATGATTTATGTGGTGCCTTCTTGTGTCAATATTTATGTGTTTAAATAAATAATAAATAAATTATTATTAACAAATTAATTAATATTTCCCGAATATTAATCGATATAACATACTACGGACATGATAGAGTTGTGGGTTGGCGCTTTGAGTGCTCCACTTTCAATCGTTCCATCGGTCGTTTGAATCGCACCACACATAATCCGTTTGAACAGTCAAATATTATCATCATCATTTACACAAAAGGTGGCGTAAAGCGGAATACGGGGACATGTCCTTGGTAAACGAGTTGCATAAAATTATATCAGTTATTTTCAACTTCCAACTTATGGTTTAAATGGTTAGGTTGTATCACTTTCAGTACCACACAATGTGTTCCTATGTACCTTAGTGCTTAATACTGTATATTGTACCATCTCCTTGTCAGCCTACGTCTTTGGGTAATGGAAATATTTGAAAATGAAATCCAACATTTACATACTAGACTCTAAGTTACACTTACTATACGCAGTTGTTTAGGATATTACTTTAGGGGTGCTAAAATGCGTATAGATGGAATAGGAATCATATGCTTCACTCAATTCTCGTTACTCACGTCTCTAATTCACTGATTTCTTGGGAACCGTAATTATATACTGTTACTATCGAGCCTTTTCTAAAGTAGATTTCCCTGATATCATTATTAATATAGTATTTGTCCATAGTTTATCACATTAGTCAAGCATTTGTTCCCACTCTTACATGTGTTGATGCTGTCATAATTTAGTATCTTAGTGCATAGTTTAAAATTGTGTAGTTTCTGTTAGGTTAGATTTTTTTACTAGTTCCTATAATATCGGTTATTTCTCGGTGATCGATCAACTTAGATATTCCAGACTTGAAAGAAGTGATTTGTCACCCAAATAGTTTAGCTTTATCATCTATGCCTACAATATTACCTTGTTGATAACTCTCAATGAATAAAAAGTCAAAAGACTCCTGGAGATTACTTCCAGTGATCTAATGACTTGTTTTCTTCATACATCACGAGATTGCTCTGAGATTAAAATTTAGTACACAGTATCTGTTTACCCATCAGTGTGTCGAGCGTAGGATATAATAGCGAAAACTGTTCCGTTAAAAAAGTACAATCAGAAGGAATTCTCTCAGTTGGAAAAGTTCTTTCCATTTTTATTAAGAAATTGAATGAAAATTACAGCAGGATCACCACTGTTTCTATTCTGAACCATGTCTAACACTATTTCAAACCACTGCTTCGCATTTTTTCACGAATTTGCAGTCGTAGCGGTCGAACAGATGTCAGTCCTGTACGATTTCCTTCCATGCGGCAGCGTCAAATCAAACTGACCACCTCTATACTTTTTCCAAATAGTCTTAGCATCGTCAAAGAAGGCAGAATGTAGAAGTTACTGAGGTAGCATTCGTAGCACATGTTCAAGCCACCGGAACCATTATTTCAAGATGATGGCATCATTTGTGTGTTTTTTTTTTCCTGTTGATGTTAAGGACTCCAGACGACCAATCCCTATTGACATACGTGCATGTTGAGCGGATCGCCTCCATGTTAACATTTAGTCAAGAAACTTGGTGAAGCTGAATTATAGTTAGCAGTTAAACCCAGGACGTGAGTCCTACCCTTTTTGGAACCCATCAACTAGCTGTTTGGATTTAATAGTTCAGTAGATAACATGTTGACTCTTGAAGCGGTACTGTGGTAATTGGTTCACATCTAAGTATAAATGTCGACATTCGGATGTAACAGGTTCATTCAACTGCCTGAACCTAAATAGGCGAAAAGTGCGTCCTAGATTTAATTACTAACCATACTTCGGCTTGACTGTCGAGCCGATCCGCTAACAAAGACTGATCAGTAGCAATTCCAAATAACATCAGTTGGAAATTACAAAATGTAACCCGTCTGCAATTAAACACATAAACATTAGTACAAGAAGGCACCAAACAGATATGCGCCACATAAATCATTCGATTTGTGTGAAGGCTGTGATACTACCAGGGTGCCCAAACCGAAGCAGATGATTTTCTTAGGGGATCACTCCCGAAGCATTTGACCCAAAGATCTAATCCACAAGGTAGTGGAGCAACGTAAGGAGATGCAGTCTCATGGTATATGGTAACCAACAATAGGTTCATATGCCTTTCGTTCCCTCAGGATCCTGGAGCCCATGTGCACCATTGATTTGGAATGAGGGTTTTCCAACATCCCTAGGTGGACCCTCCATATCCGCCAACCCGCTTAAAGGTCCGGACATTCGCTTTTTATCTTCTCAATTTCGTAAACTATAGTATTTCCACGAGAATGCAGTGAGTAGGACTTGTGTGGCAGTGGTTATTTGCACGTGGCCATGTCAGAGCATTTTGAGAGGGACAGTTGACTCTCCGCACTCTCGGTTATACCAAGGTATTTTGGGGCAATCTACTTAATTACTGATTATCAACTGTCATTAACCTGATAAGAATTGTTTTCCAATAAAAAGCTGTTGTTTTATCACTGTGATATAAACTTACTATTTCAAACCATGAAGTAGGGAGATTTTGATGTATAGGTACTCTAACAAATCATCATACATAATCAACTCTCATAGAGCTTAATACATTTGAACAGTCAAATAACAAATGACTTTAAATAGTTAGTTGTAGTCAACTAAAAATTTCATTACATTAATACACATCCTAGTAAAAACCTCCTTCTCCTTATGTCATTCAATTGTATTAACAAAATGGAATTAGGAAATATAAGTTTCTACCGAACTTCAGTTTGTTAATTAATAATATCAGAAGGGGTTTTGTAGAGATTGTAGTAATTTCAACAGTTGAGATCATGATTCAATTGAAGCTAGACCACCATGGAAAACCTGGAAGCACTGGACGGCCGTGGTGGTGGTCTAACTTCAATTGACTCATGATCTCAACTGTTGAAAGTACTACAATCTCCACAAAACCCCTTCTGATACTAATCAACATATGCTCACTAGTGACCGACTTCAAGAGATATATCCTGGAGTTCTAGTGAGAAGCCGTTACCAGTGGAGTTCAACCGGGTCAGTTGTGAGATAGTAACTCACTGATGACAATGGTAGATGTGTCGCTCAGTTTCGTGGATTAGTTAAAGTTAGACATTAACACCGTTGAATGCCGGCCAACTCAGTGGTCTAGTTGGTTAAGCACCTGGCGCGAGACTGATAGGTCCTGGTTTCGAATCCCGCGAGGCGGGGTCGTGGATGCCCACTGCTGAGGAGTCCCACAATGGGACGAAACGGCCGTTCAGTGCTTCCAGGTTTCCCATGGTGGTCTAGCTTCAATTGACGCATGATCTCAACTGTTGAAATTAATAATAAATCAATTAATTAGTGCGAGACAAAAGAAATTTGTTCGGAACAATAAATAAAACAATATGTGATTGTTGGACTGCATTTACTTATATACCTATTCAATTTTTGTACTATAGCTAATATTATTCAAAATACCAATAGTGTTTTGAGATGCAACTTACCAAATGAATACAGGATCATGTACTGGTTAGTAATCACTAACATAAAGATTTCATTGATCTAAATTTCGCTGTCCCGATCGTACTTGCTCTCTTAATTGGATTGTTGGCCTTACCTGTCCTGTTGACCCTGTAAAGCTATATTGGCTAGAAAACTTGTTTCTTTAGGCTCTACTATGTCAGAAATGTCGGCTGGAGTACTGTATTGCTAAAAGCATCAACTTAAATTGTGATGAAGTTGTACTGCAGCTTGTGGAGATACTACCTCCTCACAACAAAAGGAAGGGGTTAGGAAATGTCAGTTCTGAAAATAGCACACCTTACCTTTGATCTGACGACAAGGAACAGATGCCTGAATTATACTGAGGCAGTGTGATCGGGCCGTTTATACAAGAAAGCGACTGTATGGTCCGGTCCGAGTACTGGTTTTTTCTCTTGGATTGTTTATTTAGTACCTATAACCTGCCAACCAATGACACGATGAAAATGAGATATCAGCCATGAACAATACTCAACAACTATTGGTCCAGTTCTCTCAAGCTCGTTCGCTCAGGATAGATCACAACACAGGAAGTAGATACATTCTAACTAGACAGTTCAGTCTTATAACTCAAATCATACAATAATAAAGAGTAAAATCTTAATCACGCGTCAACGTAGTTAAGAGATTTCAGTC